AACACGGTCATCCCACCAAAAGCGGGTCAGTGCAGATTGAATTTGTTTGCAGAGTGATATCGGCAACTGAAAACAAGACATGGCGTGGGATGGGACCGCTGAGAGGACACTTTTGAGCATGGTCATTTTTCCTGCAGTAGATAAAAACCGGTTTGACCAGCCTCTTGCTTTCTGTCGAATACGGTCAATGATGGATGAAAAGTGATCACGTTTGGATCTCCCGAATTGTTCTGGTAGGCCCAGATATTTCCCTGCCCCTCCCTCCTTTGATATAGCCAGAGTATCGTGTACCACGATTTTTAGAGACCTTGGTGTCCGTCTCGAGAAAGTAATGGAAGATTTGTCTTTGTTGATTGACTGACCGGAGGCTGACTCGTATTGTTGAAGAATACGATTTAATGCTAGGCTGCAGTCCTTACTGGCTCGCACGAAAAACATCGTGTCATCTGCGAACAAAAGATGGTTGAGTCGAGGAGTCCCTCGAGCTACACGGACCCCCTTAAGGGATCCATCCAACTGTGCTCTGTTACATAGACCCGAGAGAACCTCGCTACACAAGATGAAGATGTAGGGGGAGAGTGGATCTCCTTGACGGATACCACGGCTCGGTGTGACTCTTCCTCTAGGCGAGCCGTTAATGAGGAAGGAGTACGTAACGGTAGAAACACACTGCATAATCCATGTGACCAGTTTGGGGTGGAAGCCCAATCTCTGCAACACCAGTCGTATAAACTCCCATTCCAGTCGATCGTACGCTTTACTCATATCAGTTTTGACCGCCATGGAGCATCTCTTTTGCGCGTCTGACGTCTTGAGATAGTGTAAGACTTCGTGGGTGATGAGGACATTGTCCGAGATTGCTCGATCAGGCACGAACGCGGACTGATTCTCCGAGATTATATTCGTGAGAAGCGGCTGGAGTCTTTTCGTTAGAATCTTGGAGATGATTTTATAATATACGTTGCAAAGCGCTATAGGTCGGTACTCCGTAACTCTCTGTGGGCTAGGGATCTTTGGTATAAGTCTGATGTGAGTCTCATTAATCTTGGGTGGGAGCCTACCGGAGATGAAGAATTCTTGGACCTCTCTCACAATGTCATCTCCTATGTTTTCCCAATTTGTGTGGAAAAAACTTGCAGAGAAACCATCCGGACCGGGAGCTTTGTCTGCATGGATTGAGAAAACTGCGTCTTTGATCTCTGCTGCCATAGGAATCAAAATTAGTTTCTCATTCATCTCTTCACTCACCATTGGTGACAAGGCATACATTACTGTCGCCTCTCGATCTCCGTCTATAGCAGTAAATAGTTTTTCGAAGTAGTCCACGACTACTTTTCCTATCTGCTCCTCCTCATAGACCACTGTCCCCTCCTCGTCTTCAATAACAGAGAACGCATTGGCCCTTCTTCTATTCTTTGCAACTGCATGAAAATATCCAGAGTTGCGATCTCCTAGACTAAGCCAAAGTAAACGACTTCTCTGTCGCCAGTACTCTTCTTCAGACGCATATGCATCGTTGAGTTCGTTGGAAACCTTCGTAATTAATTCTGTGTCGTTCCGGGGATCGGTAAGAGCTGATTCCAATTCTGCGCGCTTTTGTTCGATTTTTTCTCTGCTATTCTGGTATTGCTGTTTAGTCCATCTCGCTAAAGCTGAGCGTACCAAGCTAATTCTGTCATTGACAGAGGTATTAGGTTTTTATTTCCAAGCTTGGTTAATCAATTCCTTAACCGCAGGGTTATCTTTTAGTCTTCTATCATAACGGAATAGACCTCGTCGTTTTTTCTTCTCTGGTTCACAAAAAGATACAATGGGCTTATGATCAGAGCCTTCATAAGTGAGATAGTGAGATCTTGCGTTTGGGAACAACTCAGCCCAGTGGCTATTAACCGCCGCTCGATCTAAACTGCATCTTACTAGATGATCTCCTCTCTGTCCCCTCCAGGATAAGAAATCACCAGAGTGCTGCAGATCATATAAATCTCCTTCTGAATAGAAGGTTCTCAGGTCCGTGAAGGAGCTTTCCGGTCGAGCAGGCCCTCCGACCTTTTCAGTATTATTGAGGATATCGTTGAAATCTCCGCTAATAAACCAGGGAGCATCCCTTGATTCATTTCTTTCAAGTAACTCGTCCCATAGGGCCCTTCTTTTCCGAACATCAGTATCAGCATAAATAAATGAAGCATAAAAACTCTTCCCTTGGAATTCAATACTTGTTTCAATACAGTGTGCGGTGGACAATAAAATCTGCATTTTAATTTCCTGCTTCCAAAAAAGGGCGAGTCCGCCTGCTCCATGTCCAGTGGGCGGTACTAGGTGAGAATTTTCGTACTGCAATTGATCCGTCTTTTTCTTGACGAAAGCATCGGGGTTTTTAGTTTCCGAAAGGAAGAGAATATCAGGAAAGATGTCTCTCTTCATCTCTCGTAGACGTCGAACTGTCCGGGGATTCCCTAACCCTTGACAGTTCCAGCTCGATATCTTTAAGGACCGAGAGTTGATGGATTTTGAAAATCCATCCCCCTTCTTGTTGACGCTGGTATCATTTTGATGATTGGTTGGTCGTCTGAGTTTGCAGATCCACTTGAGTTCCTACTGACCCGTGATGCCCGCGAAGTTCCTGAAAGTGGTTTAGTGCGTCCCTTAGGGGAGTCTGCTCCACGGGATTTTTGTAGTATGGGTTTTTCTTCTGCGGGACGAGGAGCCTACCAACAGCGTCTTTTTGGGTTGCTCTGTTTTTTTCCCCGGGGGGCGCCCTGGTTTGCGCCTTGCTTGGGTAGCGCTATTACTCTGTAGCTCAGTGTCTGTGGTACCTTGCGTTCCAAGCCGTTGGTGAGCTGGGACCCTAGTTCCTTCTGTCATTTCAGTACTCGCTTGGGGTCCCAAACGCTGAGTTGCAGGGATTCTGTCAACATTGAGGGGATCATGTTCTGTCACTTCAGGGTGGAGGGTTGTTGAGAGCTCCTCTCGAGGGAGGTCATTGACCTGGTTAGCGTTTTCTACATCAACCATGGCCGTTTGGACCATTCTAGCAGCAGCTTGTTCGAATTCCCCAGCCTCCTCGGCTCTACGCATTCTTTCTCTCCGTGCTGCGCTTTCCGTTGGGTCTGCTACTTTAGTATACTGTGTCATGGCATCTATAACTTTTCCCAAAGCCACGTCAAAAGGTCTGCTCTGGATAGGTGGGCTCGGAAGTCGTAGGGGAGGGACGCTTTCCGGCTTATCTTTATCAGCCTTGGTTGAGCTGGTTTCATCGCGGTGAGTGCTTCTTCTTTCTCTTGAGGCATTTAGCAGCTCGTTTCGGTTCTGGGAGCTGAGCCGGTGTCGAGCATCCTCCTTTGTCAATCTATTGCGATGAGATTCCTCATGTCGTGTATTTTGGGATTGACTGTATCGAGGATACCAGTCTCTAGGTGGCTCCTTGTAGGCTCTTCGAGAGTAGTTTCCATGGGCTGAGGTTGTCATGTGGCGTTCCTGAGATCGCCTGTGACCTTGTCTTTGATCCCTGGATTCAGTTTGTCGATGCCCTCGACTCTCCTGTTCGACATTTTTGGATGCTTCAAAGCGGTAAAGTGCTGATTTTTCCGGCACCCTGGCTGCATTTTCTTCCCTGTCATTGACAGCAAAGGAATCTTTTGATGACTGAGTCTGTCTAAGTTCCTCTCTGCGCTGGTGCTTTGCTACAAGGCAGTCCTTGAGCTCATGGTCCAACTGGAAACATTTTGAGCAGTGTTTACCAATTCTTTCGTAGATAAAGGTGACAGTAACTTCATCCCCGTTTGAGTACTCAATGATAGATGATTTCATCAGGGGTAACAGGCCATTGACCTGAACTCGCATTCTAATAGAGAAATCAGTAATTTCAAATTTTTCGAGGATACCTATGTCTGCGGCCAGACTTTCAACTGTTCTTTCATCCCATAGGTGAATTGAGATTCCTTGAACTTTAATCCAGAATGGAATGAGAGATGGGAAGGAGGGTGCAGTAGTGGGCTCCCATCTTTGTAAGATGACCATCCATTTCGCGTAATGAAATGGTCTTTTTTCTAGGACCTCTAGAAGATCAGATTCTCTCTCGAATTGGAACTGGAAACATCCATTTCCTAAGTCTGAACCCACTGGACTTCCATGGCTCTTCCATATGTCGGTGAAGAAAGGGATAAGAGCCCAAACTTTTTGAGCTGTGCGGTTTGTAACTCTTCCGATGATAGTGAGAGAGAGTATGGTGAGGCGGTCACTGGGGGCCGGGGTCTGGATTTTTATCCGACCAGTGCGAGGGGGTTGAGTCGCATCATTTGCAGTACTCTTTCCTTTTGCTTCTCTTGAGAGTCTTCCTTCCATAGCCAAGAGCTTGAGTCGAAGCGGTTGTTAAGTTAGAAGAGGTACAGCTCCTGATAGAGGAGATCTGTAGATATTAACCTTTGTAATATGGGAGATTATGTTAGTACAGGACTCCCTGTTTCCAGAAAACTACTGAGCTAAAGTGGTTTAGTCTTCCCCAAAGAGTGGAATCCCACTCAATCCGAGTTTTTCCAGTCGGTATGTGGTCGGAAACTTCATCTTTCGTTTTCCGGTGAGCAGCAGCGGCGAGGCAGGGACCCTCCGACCCGGGTCGGGGGTTAGAACCCGGCGGATAAAAGCTTGCGTACTCTTTGGACTACAGGGTATTACCGAGTTTGGAAGGTTTTTTGAAAAGCAGTGAAAAGTTATTTAACTTTTAGCAAAAGCAGAAAGAATGTCACCAACGGTATGCTGGGTAAAACCCAACCTAGGCAAACGTGTCTGGGAGCACAAACTTCTCACCTCTCTCTAACGCAAAAAAAATTGTTTATTTTTATTTGGGACCAACAATAAATAAAATTAGTTCTATTAAGTTAAATTAAATCTAAATACAATCAGAGTGAGGAAAGATTAAAACAGCAGTGTGTAGTCTTTATAAAAAAAATAATTAACCAAAAAATTAAAATTAAAATAGAAATTAAATTTTTTATTAATAAACTCTTGAAGTTATTATTTTTGCACATGCACGAAACCATTTCGTATAGTTTTAAAACGCATATTAGTGGTGACAGTTTGTTTCATTATTCAAACAGATTTGCTTTTATTCATTAGAAACAAAACTGATCTTGAACCATCCTTATTACAATCATCGCTTGAGAGGGTTACTGGATTCACGTACAATTACTAAAGGCCCAGTAGAGAGTCTTTAGGTTGTTGGAGCTTTGAAAGCGTCGAGACAGCTTGCAGTAGCTAGAGATCTGTCCCAAAACTTGTCCCAATATTCAACAAATGGAAAGCTTTTGTAAACAGCAGGAGAGGCTTGTCCATTGATCAGCTCCTTTGCTGGACCTATCACTGCATCTGTAGATGGAAAATAGAATGTTGGAATCGATAACCGCTCCTTCTCGGTGTTCACGACAGCTCTGTGAAGCACACTCTTGTATTTTTCATTGCTTATGACCTTGAAGGACAAGATAAAACAACACTTATCAGCCGGAGAGTGAGAAAACAGAGGAATCTAAATTGTTCTAACCTGCATTTGGTCGCCGATATTGACAACGAAAGTGTTGGGGATAGGATAAACAGCTACCCACTTATCATCCTTAAAGACTTGCAAACCAGATACTTGGTCCTGAAGAAGGACAGTGATAGCCGTTGGGTCTTTATGGCCAGGAAGTCCGTAAGTTAGCTCAGGCTCAGGACACGGAGGGTAGTAGTTAAAGGCCATATGTTGAGCGTGTGTGCCTAATCTATTGCTTATATGGTCCCTTTCAAGGCCTAGGCTCTCAGATATTGCCTCAAGGAGTCTCAAGACCAAGGCTCTAACACTTGTAGCGTATTCAGCTATGATCTCTTTGAAAGAGACTGGATTTTCGGGCCACTCGTCGATAAAATCTTTGATAGGAAAGCAATGGAGCCGAAGGTAGTCTCTCCAGTTCAAGATTTTGTCAGCGCTGACATTGAAACTGGTGGAGACTCTCGTCGTCTTTGTTGAATCTGTCGAGTAATATTTCATCCTTTCGCTCTCCGGTTGATGGAAAAACTCTCTTGCGATGGTTAGCATTTTATTGACAGTTGTCTCCGATACTCCATGATTCTTGATCTTGTACATACACAAAACAAGATAAAATCGAGACAATGTAACTGTAGTGGGCAATACAGAATCTGTAAAATTTGAATTAAAGTAACAACAAAATAAACATTGTGCAGCAAAAACAAAATAAATTTTGATAACAAATTTCTCTCCAACAGCAAGATCAAGTGGAGGGCCGAACAAAATCCCAGTCTCAAAACAAAGAAAATAGATATACTATCAAATTTTAGTTCAAAACTTCAAATTTTAAATATACTATTAAATTTAGAGCTTAGAATTTCAAAATAGATGCATATATATAGATATAGGGTTAGAGTTTTTAAAACTTATTGTATTATATTGTTAAATATACGGTAAATATGTTTTCAACATAGTCTATGTTGGAGATAAAAATCGGAAAAAATGTAAGGGGCTTAAGTAACATAATACATGACTTGAACCAAACCATTTACCGCCAATTCATAAGTTGGAAATCTATGAAATTTAACATAGTATTAGAGAGGATCCACACGATGACCTATTAATCTCGTCTGTAAAGTAGTCAGACTATCTCATTAATTGATGGCCCAAAGAAAGCGCAATTCCCTCGAAATGGCTAGAAAAAGTAAAACATCATCTCGGAGAGGGTATGGTAAATTATGTAAGCTTAATGGTTATACACACCATTATCTCGAGGGACGGTGTTGGAGAGAATATCTCACATTAATAATATGTAAGGGATTTTAATATTATATAAGAGATTTGAGCCATCCATTTATTACCAATTGGTTTTAAGTCGAAAGCTCAGAAAACTTAATATGGTATCAGAGAGAGCCTGCATCCTGGCTTGTAATCCGGCTTGAAAGTGATCCGATCATCCCATTAATTGATAGCTCATAGAAAACTCAGTTTCACCAAGATTGGTAGAAAAAAACATTATTTATGGAGGGTATGATAGATTTTGTCAAGATTAAAGTTATACCACTATCTTTAAAAAGTGTGTTAGAGATAAAAAAAAATGCATATCAAAAAGATATAAGGGACTTAACTATCCATTTACAGCCAATTAGTTTAAAACTGAAAGCCTAGAAAACTTATCAGTCTATAAATAATTTGAGAATGCAATGTCTCTCCTTCGGTTTTATTTCGGTTGTGTTTTAATATCTTCTGTAATGGTTGGAAAGTATTGATATGCCTTGAATCTCATTTGACCAGAACGACGTCAAAAGGTATATGATCACTTTTATATCAGCCGTACTATTATGCTTATTCATCCTCATTGCACCTATGCATGTTACTCCGTCAGCTATAGACTTTAAACGTGGGATATTCTTCACCTTTATTGTCAATATACACTTCTATATATATATATATATATATATATATATTTATATCTTATGTTTTTGTAACATTATTGTATAAATTGAAATCACCTCCAAAAATAAGATTTTTTGCCAATGGACATATATAGTTGGAGAACCATGTTAATTCTCTGTGATGTTTCTATATTGTGTTTATCATCTGTTTTCGCATTATGTTCTCGTTATAACAAAATAGTATCCAACCTTTTGTGTCTTAGGATTTTGTTGGAATATGTATGGATAAACGAAAAAATGACAAATTTACTGGACAAAAATAGTTTCAGTCTCTAGTAAATCACGATGCAAGCATTTCAGAAGCAATAAGGAATATGGACACCAGTGCCACGAAAAAACTGATTATCAAAACTACAACTATGCTGTAATTAGCCGACGAAATCATAATCAAAGTTTCAGATGAGAAAAACAGCTGATATTATGTGGCAAAAAAATGGAGATTTGGTATATGAAAGTTTCTCTCATAAACAATATGTTTCTGAAAAACCGTCTATTCACTTTGCACTGCTAAAAGGTACTGAACTTTGTGATCTCCTTAACAATTTAAATTTAGTATTATTGGAGATGCGTAATATTGATGTTAAGATTGAGGATGAGGACATTGCATTAATGGTATCACTACCAAACTCTTTTGAAAACTTTCTGCAGCCATTAATTTCTGGAAAATATACAATTAAACTTGAGAAATAAGGTCAGCATCTTATATCACAGAATTTTGCTAGAAGGCATCAAGCTCTTTTATCCAGAAAAAGGCATCAAGCACAAATAAATTTAATCAGGCTTTGGGATTGTTTGTCATTGGTGGCAAGGGCTACGAAAATGGAAAGAAGTCAAAAATAGGAAGATGTTCTCAAAGATCATATACAAGTAGATATTTGCAACAATTTGGGTGGAGATGTGGTACATAATGTTTCCGTAGGTTCTGATGTGATTCTGAAAAAATTTATCCATGGCACTCTATACTTGTTGAAGGTTCTACAGTTATAGGTTCAACAAATGTTGCATCGCTAGATATTTATGAGAAAATTATGACTAAGTTATGGCGTATAACTCTTGGCATATGGGAGAATGTGAGATGTTGGTTTTGTCAAAGCAATATCTTATCTTTGGTCACAAGACCCATCTCATTTGTTTTTTTGTAAAAGTTCATATAGGACGAGATTTCCTAAGATGAATCACAAAAGAAAAGGTAACTTCTTTTACATCCATTAAGATGATTGTTGGCATCTCAAGCGTTCGCCGAGAGGTCACATCTATTTTTTCTCGATGACTGATCATTATTTGGGGAATACTTGGATAGTTTTTACAAAGCATAGAAGTGATGCTTTCAATAATTTCAGCAAGTGGAAATTCTAGTAGATAATCAAACCGAGAAGAAGATTAAGAGACTTCATACTGATCATTAGATTCCAATCAGTTTTATATGTAAAGATCTCTATGAATCTGACATTGTTGGAGAGAAAAAGGTGCAGGCTCTCTAATGTTGTTTTACAGAAACAGTTCTGGGCTGAAGTTAGAAATACGGCCTGCTACTATCCTCCAAACTCAGACATTGAGTTCATGATACCTTCTCAGGTGTGGGGTCAGGTAAATTTGTTGGTTACTCAATCCTAAGAGATTTTGGTTGTATTGTTTATTATCATGTGAGTGAATTTAAACAAGAGACAAGAGTAAAAATGAGCATTAATGGGCTACAATGATGGAGTAGGTGGAAACATGATATGGTCTCATCAGAGAACATAGTGGTTCTATGTAGGAATATTTTTATAATGAAACTTCCATGTCATGGATGGAGAGATTGACAATCACATAAGTCTGGGGGAAAGGCTACCAAGGAGAAGAAGATGAAGAGCAAAAGGATGAAGGGTGATCTTCACTTGACATTGGTTCTTCAAAGCTATTCAGATGGTGTTATAGAGTACAAGGTGCAAAGCAGAGGTATTCCACAGCCATTGTAAAAAATTTCTAATCTCATAGCTGGAGACAAAACATAGGATGTTGTTAAAGGATCCATGGAAAGTGTGTTGAAAATAAAGATATTGGACATTTGGACTTGTTCTGGAGCAAGTTTTTCATTCTCATTTGGACTAAATTTGGCCTCCAAAATTGAGCTAAGGATTAAAAACAGGTGTTTGGTGGGAGGCCACTCACTGATAAGTTTTATGTTCCTTAAAAAAACTGAGCGTGGAGTTCCATGTGTTGGTCGACACCTTCTTGGTGTTGGCCAGCACCATCTTGGTGTCGGCACCCAACCCACCCACATGTAAGCCTTATAATTTTTATTTATTTTTTCGGTTTTATTTGCTTATGTCGCCAAACTTATATTGTATAACATTGGGGATAATGTTGTTAAAATCTGGGGAGGTAACTACTAACATTGTGTTATGTTTTGACTGTAAGTAGTGTGTTTTATTGAGTCAAACTGAGACAGTTGGGAACTAAGAACTTTTCTTGGATATAGGCATCTAACTCTTTACCTTATACATTATTTGAGTTATTTAATGCAAACTGTATGACATGGAAAAGCCAAATTGAACTGATCTACCAATAACGTACATGCTTGTGAATGCTAAAGGATCAAAATGGCCTTCAATATTAATATACTTGAATGTCTTGTTTTGGGGCTTATTAAAAGAATTATGTGTGAATATGGCTCCCCTCTCTCATTCTATCAATCTAAAAAAACCAGACAAATGATTGATATAATTTCCTGGGGAGTAAAGGGGTAAGAAAATTTCCTATTAACCCATTATTACTTTGAATGGAAAATTTCATGTGACCTCGTTCTTCGCCTACACCATTCTAGTGAAAGAAAGAGAAAGAAAGGATAAATGAGAAAAGAGAGAGGAAATGAACCAAAGTAAGATTGTTTATTTGATCATAAACCTATATGGGTAAAATTCCATGTGTCTTGTTATTGATACTCCCTTGATGAGACTGTTTATAGGTCAGTGGGGGTGAGATTGGATATCTCATATGATTTGTGGGCTTTAAATGGTTTGGTTGCAAAGCAGAAGTCAAGTACATGAAAGTACCTTCTAAAGTTGGTAATAGTTAATGTGGCTTGCGACATGTAATAGTGAAAGTAATGGTTCTAAAGAATAAGTGAGTTTCTACGTTTACAAATTAGTCTTATGTTTTGATGGAGGACAAGTAAGAAATTAATCTGGGTGAGTTGATATATCATGGTTTTTTTAATATGTTTTTGAACATAATATTTAGTCTTTGTTATATGTTTTGAGTCATTTAGAATCTTTATAGATTCAAGCATGTTCTAGACAACTTTGGAGATTATGGAGAAATTTGGACCATTAGGAGAACTGGAACTGAAAGCAGACATTGGATCACATATTTGGAGGTGGTGTCAATCAAAACCCATCAATGGTGTCGGTCGGCACCCATGTTTCAAGAAAACCAATGAGTGTTTTAGTGAAATTTCAAGAATTATAATTTTGGCCTAAAAATCTTCAATATTTTCAAAGAAGTCCCATAAGTGTTTTTACCTATATTATCTATTCCAAAATCATTTTTAGGATACACTTTATTTTATCTTAGAGATATCTCGAGAAATAAGTCACTGATTGGGTAGTGTAGGATCCAAGTAGTGATCCTTGGTGTTACTAAACTCTTGTTGTAAACGTGGTTCAAACACTATTGTTGTGTTAAATCTTGTATCCCTACAATTGATTAACAGAAAGCTGAGGATGGGCTTTTTAATAATGGACATGTATTTCTGGAGAAGGCGGCCAATTATTTAGTTTCACGTATTTTTATTTTTATTTATTTTATGTATCTTTATCTATGCATAAACAATAAACAGATTTCAGGTTAATGTCTTTCTCCTAGACCCTCTGCCAGCGCCCTACCAAAATTGTACGTAGTACGTATTTTGTATAAAATGCGAGGAAAATTACAGGTTAATGTCTTTCTCCTAGACCCTTCTCACAAATTTACGACGAATTTGCAAGATAGTTGCGAGAAAAATATTCCTCTCACAAATATGCTAGAATCTGTAAGGGGCTAAACTGATTCTGTCTCAATTGCATATAAAATTTATGAGAGATTTCCGATGAAGATAAACCCTTCCCACAGAAATCTCTCAGAAATTTTTTAGGGATTTTCGACAGCTTTCTCTACTTAAAAAAGTTTGAGATGTCCGTTTTGTCCCCGCAACTCTCTCGAATACTTGTTAGGGGTGATGCTCCGTATTAAAATTTTTAGGAAAGATATTCCCATACAAATCTAAGGAAGTTGTAAAAATTTTGATTTGCGACTACCGATTAGCGACGAAACGGCTTCCCTCGCAAATCCCACTATTTATTGTAGTGCACAGAATAATTAACTCCGTTAGCATAACTGTTAATTCCAGTATCAGAATTGTTAACCTCCAGCATCCAGAAAATGGTGTCATCTTGAATTTAAGCTGTAGCGTGTTGAAATAATGCAGTATATTTTTAAATAGATGAGAAAACAAAATCCAAATAGATTTGGGAAATTAAAGTATGTTGATGTCACTCTAACTCTCGCAGAAAAATCCATCGATTTCGAAGAGAATAACATGTATGTTTTGTGTTGAATTGATATGAGAGACCCACACTTCGGACATGCGAACAATATTTTTTTGTAAATATGGCTCAAAGTGTATGCTTTCAATGATTGAATACATGATGAAAAGGAGCTTGCAAGGATTAGTAACGCTCGACTGCCCACAACTAATGGTCTATCACCCCCGTTTTCTCGGTCTCATGGGCCCTATTCCATGTGGCGGACAGTGCATTAGTTTTTCTGAGACCCAAACATTTTGTTTACTGACCCTCTGATCACCACATGAATTTTTCCCGTGCTTTGCCCTCACTCACATGGTATTGCGAATCAGTTCCCGATAGGTCACCCGTCCTTCCACTACTCCAACGCAATTACTCTTAACTCTGGAGTTCTAAATAGATGTGTAATGGAAAAAGTAAGCGAACTTTGGTGACATAGGTAGCTAGACTAATTCTTTTAACCCTTTTCACATATACCATAAATTGGGATGCTACAGGTTATACATTTGTCAAGGTCGTAGGTTTCAAGGGTATGAATCTGCATTGGTATGTGCATGGGTGGATGTAAGAAGGGAGTAGGGGGGTCAGCTGATCGCACCTCATTTTGAAAAATATATGTATCCTTTTAGATAAGTAATGAGATAACCTCATGAAAATAATATCTCGGTTCCCACAAAAATTCATACTAAAAACAAAATGTTAAATTTCACTACCTAACTAAAAGCCCTTTCTTTATTTTTTTTAATTACCTAACTAAATGATTAAATGGGTTCACGGAAACAAATTCTTATTGAGTAAACTTGGGTTTATAATAAGTTTAAGCACAACTAATGATAATCACTAACTTTTGTTGACTAATTAAAAATTAATTAATTAATTTTATTTTAGAAACCATAAAGTTCAGAATATGACTTTAAAATATGTCTTTGTCTTTTAAATTTTGAGTTAATTTTTGTATTCTATTAAATTTTCTATATTAATACTTTACATTTTATGAACTTTAAAAGTTATAAAATTCCTAAATTTTAAGATTTGTTTTGACTATAGAAGTTGAATATGTTTAACTTAAAATTTTCTAATTTAAATTAAATTATTTTAATCTATTAAATAAATAAAAGATTTGTTTTTAAAATTTCTTATCTAATAGACGATGATATCGGTTACATTAATTTATCGCATGGTTCTAATAAAAATAAAAATATATTATAATATGATTTTGATGTTTTAAAAGTGAGATAAAACAGAAGTCGTTACTAATTATTTTTCACTTTTGTAATTTTGAATGTGGACTTATAGAGAATATATAATTCTAGTATGTTAAATACATTTATAAGTTTTTTTGTACTTTGTATTTTTTTTCTAACCCTGGTAAGAAAAATTTCTGGCTCTGTCATTGGATATATGGATGCCAACATTTAGCGTTTTTTTTTTGGTAAAAAAAAGTGGTTTCATTTCTTTGTCGGGAATCCAAACATTGTAAATAGTTCATTCCACCTCGAGTTGAATTCAAGTGGCGGAAATTACAACCGCAACCCCCTTACCACTAGGCTAATTCGATGTTGGTACATCTAGCATTGTTGGGGGTGAGAGATACCATTCAAGGGAAGAGAGAAGAGATTATGAACTTAAAGGATGTTGTGTGAGCACTAACTCATTAGAATGAGGAGGATTGTGAGAGCACTAACTCGTTAGCTAACAAAGGTGATCCAAAATTGTTTTTAGAAAATTCAGATCACCTTCGTTATCTCTCTCTCCCTCATAGAGCAATTAACCCTAATTTCCCACAACAATTTGGGATTTTGTCGTTTTTTTTAAAATATACCACATATGTTATTTCAAAACGTTACCGTTTTAATTAATCTAAAACGTGACCGTTTTAGGTAATAGGGGTTAACAATTCCAAGACCACAGTTATTTATTCTGTTTATGGAGGTAACTATTCCATTTGCTAAAATGGCGGCGACGAATATTGGGAAATGAAGAGTTTACTGTGACAAATATAATTCGTTTAATGGTTTAAACTGTTAGTGTAAACTTTTAGTGATTTAAGTTTAAAATGTTAGTGGTTTTCACTTTGATGGGTTTTATGAGGTTCCAAACTTCAAGTAATGGAAAATAGAAAAATCATTAGTTTTTCGTTTCCTATTTTAAATTGGTGACCATGGTCTAGCCGACTCATCATATGGACGAGTTACATCTATACTATTAAAGCAGATGACTGCTTATGAATCTGTCCCTGAAGTTTTAAAAAATTACAACAATTATATGTACATTTTTGCCAGCAGTTTTTGCAACCAATCAAAAGTCATTATTTTGCAATTACATTATAGAGCATTTAATACAATTTACTTCTCAGCCTTTGTGAAAAGTTTGTTTTCTTTGCACCATATCTTTTCAAAAAATCTTTCACGTTATTAATTATTTGAAAGCATTTATTAAATGAAACCTCAAAATAAAATCAAGTTAAAATAGCAAATGATTAAAACAACAAAATCATAATACGGGTCTGAATTATGTCAACTCCTTAAAAAATAGTTCCACTTAAAATAAAAACTAAATTACATAAACTAAATTTAATAAATTATAGAAATTTTTTGACGCATAAATGAATTTTTTAATACAGAGAGTATTAAAGATAGAAAGTATTTTTATTTAAATTAAAACATAGTGTAAAATAAGTTTAACTTCGGGTTAAATAAATAAAATCATATTACGGGTTAGAATTATTTAGAATCTTTAAAATTTTTGTCATATTTAAAATAACAGAAATAAGTCATATAAGTAAATTTAAGATAAATTTCATAAAAGTTAAGAGTTAATATATATAATTTATCAAAATCATAATTTTATTACGTAAAATATTTTTTCTAACAAAAAATATACCCGTCCTTTTTAAGGGTGGATCAAAATCTAGTGAGTAACTGAACCAGAATCTCTTAATGTTCACGCCTTAAAACCTTACTAGATTTTGAACCCGCACATCCGTGTTGGTAATCTTTCATTTATTAAATATAAAAATTTAATATAAGTTAACAATTTTATTTTCTGTAAAATTTATTACATAATTTACGAATGTTTAATTTTTTAAAAGGTAAATAATATTTTAGTCACTTAAATGGTGAATGATATTTTTTTATTTTTTTAAATTATATTTTTAAATATATTAATTTACCAATTTAATATAATTTTTATATATAATTCATATATTTGTTTCTATTTTAATATAATATAGACTATACTTATAAAATTTATAAATTAGTATATAGTATATTATATTTTGTTTATAAAAAAAATTAATTGATATTTATGTATAATAATATTATACTACTAACTACGAAATTAATCAGTGCATTAAGTAAAAAACTATTTAAATTTTAGATTTTGTTAGATTTTTTATCAACAGATTTTGAAATTACTAAATCTAAAATTTAAAATTACAGTTAAAATAGATTGTTATTAATATCTTTATAATTATTTAGAAATGTTATACATAAAATAAACTAATGTAAATAATAATAAAAAATTGAATATATGGACCTAGTATAATTATTCTATAGTAGATAAAAATGGTACTTCTTTTTTAATAGAGAAGATGTAATCAACCCCACGCCTCTATATGTGCCTTACGATGATATATTTTTACTCGAAAGAAAAAAAAAAGAATGGTTTCATCTCTTTACCAAAAATCTAAATATTATATTGTAAATAGTGTTTTCTACCGTGAGTAGAATTCAAGTAACAGAAGTTACATTTACAATCCTTTTACTGCTAAGCCAACTCCACGTTGGTGAGAGAAAAAGGGTAGCATACTAGCATAGTGTTTTACGATAAAGCAGAGCAAGTACAATTAATCTGATTGAATTTGAAGCAGAAACACTAGACCGGCGTTACCTGGAAGAAGCCATAAGTGGAACATGCCTGAGCAATTTGACGGATAATCTTGGCTCGATTGGGTCCATGGAGATCTCGAAGATCGATCAGAGGAATAGTATCGCCGGAAGTCTCTACCTGCGACAATTTTGGTCGGTCAGACATGGATCGGACGTACGTTGAAGGGATATGACTAACGGAGGATGCGAAATCGGACACCAGGGGCTTTGATGTTAAAGGAGCTGCCATAATTGGGTATGAAATATCTTTGCTAAGTTCGAGAGCTAGATATGACAGCTAAAGGGAGAGAGATGATAGCCTATATAATAACGTGTAATGCGTGTTGATGTATACAAATCATCTCACGTTCATCCAGGTGTGATGTCAGAAATATGACGTCACTTTCCATATGATTGTACGCGCTGCGCTATACACGTATCACTACAAAAGTATTCTTATGTGGTGAGGGTGTGCATTTGTCGTATTTACTATATTTTCTGTGATAAAAAGATGTTGCTGCTATTTCTCCATAGTCTCGAGGTCTCTTATATATATATATCTTGGAGAAAGGGCTTTTAGTCTCCTATATATTAACTCTATTAAAAACAATAGTTTCTTTTTTTTTTTTTTTTTTTTTGGTAATGGTTGGGTTTATAAGTATTTTTCAAATAACATTGATTCTAAATAAGAGCCGGTACTACAAATCTAAGAGCAACAAACCAAAACAAAGAATATGGCTGAAATGCAGGAGAGGAGTTTCGGACCTCAACCTATTATGTATACAGTAGCAACACAACCACTAATTCTATTAAGACTTGTTTATCTAAATGTGGCTGGTAAAACAAATACTTCCTTTGTTTCAAATTATATGTCATTTTAGAGTAAAATTTTCGTTTTAAAATAAATGTCGTTTTATGATTTCAATGCAAAATTTATTGATTTTAAATATTATTCTATTTTTTCATTGGTTGAAAAATGGTTAGGTCCATAAATAATTGTGTTTTTATTTTGAAAATATGTAAAATTAATTATTTTCTTAATATGCGTGCAAAAATCTGGAAGCACTGGCTTCTATCTCTTCTATCAAGGGCCGGCTCTTCCCTAAACCCTGGGTTTGGAAGTATTCTTCAAATAACATTGACCCTAAACCCTAGTCCAGTTTTCACAAATCCTTAATGGAGAAACACATGAACGCGTGAAGTTGATGTTATTTGAATACGAGACATACAACGTGTAGATCACGGTTGGTTCATTGACTTGCGAATACAACGTGTGAAGCACGGTGGCTCGTTGACGAGCCATTTGAGCTGCAATTTATGCATACTTTAAAGTAAACGCTTAAAGCAAATAGTTGCCAATTGTTAATATTGTTCATAGAGAAAAAGGGGTATTGATTAATCTCTATAATTCAGGAAATTAAGATTTATATATGTAATTTTTAAGTAATGTTTTTCATCTTTTCTTTTGTGTTATTGAACGAGAGATATCCAGAAAACTAGTATTCAGAAACTACAAACAAGAAGCATGCTTTCTTACAATTTTAAACGTTTCGCAGAAACCAACTATGAGTAAAAATATATTTTTTTATGACTAAAAAATTATTATAATGAAAATAAAATGACTAAAAAGCCAGAGAATTTTTTTTCATAGATTGAAGATCGCCATTTGAGTAGCTTTATTTTTATATTGCTATATGTTTTGTCTCTTTGGGTACTCATTCTACCAATGGTAGACTACCATTAAAGTTATACTTTAGTTTTTTTGTCTTCTGTTTATTTTAGTTTAATGCTCGTAATTTTGTTATGCGGCACAGAAGTTTAAGCCACAAGTGATCTAAAAAAGCAAAAAAAAAAAAAGAAGTTATTCTTCGTCTACCAAAAAAAAAAAGATTAGAAATGTTTTCTTTTTGGACCCTTTTTACTCTCGAGATGGAATCCACCTCCGAAAGTATAATTCGTCATGGAATGTTTTTTTTTTTTTTTGAAAAAGGTATAATTCGTCATGAAATGTTGCAACTTAAAAATAAAAAGTAAGTAAATGATCCGCGCCATAGTGACATAATTCATCAGATGATTTATTGTTGTACTAATAGATTTGTCCTATAACCTTTTAAGGGATGAACATTTATATTTTCGTTCGGTTTTAGTTGAGCTATTCAAAATTCAGATTTTTAGAGTTAAAATTTTAAATTGTATTCGGATTTTTACAAATTTTCGTTTGGATGTGGTTCAAATCATTGTTGATTCGGTTCCGGTGCGAGTTCGGGTATCCATTTCAATTATTTATTTTTTAAACAAAAATATAATTAAACTTAAGTCCTCAAAATCGAAAATAATTTAAAACAATAAAATTTGAAGAATGTAAGACTAAATATTTAAATTAGTTCAATTTAAATATTTTCTATATTTTATTTTTTTGTTATTTTAAGAAATTTACTTGTGACTATATTGATATTTTTTAGATATTTTTATATTTTGAATATCTAATAGGTATAAAATCTAAAATAATAAATATATTTAAGTATATTATAGTGATTTAGATATTTTTGGTATCCAAAATATTTTAGTTTGGATCAGATCTGGGTCTAGTTATCTTGATATTAAACTTTTAGATCCATCTGAGTACTTAATCAGTTTTAGTTTCTATTAAGTATTACGTTTAAATCTACTCCCGCTCGGTTCTTTGGATTCACATATTTTATCTGTACTTTCTTTTTTACTAAACACTCTTAATCATATATTGTAATAAACACACTTAATCATATAAATAAATTAACCTATTTGTTAATGAAAAAGATCATTATTATCAATATTAATTTAATTACTAAAATTACATTAATGAAAAAATAACACTACTATTCATGTTTTCAAATAGTAATATACTCCTTTTTATAATGCTATCCATGTTTTTAAACAATTTTCATTGGTTGTACTTTTAATAATATAGATTAAATTTTGAGAACGCAAAAAGAAATATTATATTTAAGAAAATTTTAGTTTTATGATTCTTAGTTATTTTAAATAACATATAATTATACATATAAACACTTAAGATATGTTGATCCTTTTACTTTTTGTAACATTATATAGTTTACTAATCCATTGGTGGGAATTCTAGCCCTGTATCAAGACCTAAGAACCAAAAGACAGTCTTAGATAGACAGTTTCTATGGGCGTAGGACTCCCAAAAGGTAACGGAGGCTTGCAAAGATTTCCTTGGATCAGATAGATATTGGCCCTCGAGTGCAAAGGCAGAAGGGAGCTTGATTGCAAGACCCACCCGTAGATCAGGAACGAAAGTCGTCCTTAGCGATAGATCTAATTCATGGCCTATTTGAACTATAAGGCGCTTTGGTGGGATCCTCACTGACATGAAAAAATTGCAGTCAGTTTGATAATGATCGAGTGACATTGCTTTTTTTGCTCTGGACCAAGGGATTCCTTATATATTGAAAGATGGATCTTTTTCTATCGTGGATCAGAGATTTTTGGGAACCAAAATTCACACTTTCGATTTCCGTAAAATAAGAAAAGTTAGGAAAACCCTAATTCTCCAGAGATCTCAGATCACTGCAAGAAACATACGAAAAAGACAAAGAGATGGATAACAGAATATCGAATAAGAATTTTGTAAAAGCTTTATTGATGATGATGAATATAGATACATGATATTGATGAATGAACGAAGAAATTCAAGAAACTGCTTAACAAAGAGAATCGTGGAGCTAAGGAAACAAAACGTTCCTAGTCTCTGACTTGCTAGTCTAGCCGCGTAAGTCCTATACATATTCATCTAAGCTAACCAGGGTTCTCTAGGTCTAAAAAACTCTCTCTTCGTCTTTTCCTTGGCGTCCCTTATATACTCCTATTTAGGTCGGTTCTGACTTTCCTTTTCTGCTTCTGGGTTGAGTTTATCTTCCTGCGGAAATATTCCGTTTTTCTTGATCTTCATGATTATATTTTGGAAATTTGACATTTATATTTTTCTGCAAGTAATGGGTTAAACCGTCATGCTATTCTTTGGGCTAGACTTTACCTAAAATCGTAAATGGGATTTCCTTGCGTTTTAGAGCCTTGCGGCCCGTTTTACGACTTTAAGCATTTTTACGATCTTTTAAGGAATAATCTTCGATACGACGCTTTTTTTATAAAGCAGTTCAAGTTTCTCGTATAGCCTTGGTGTTATGCGAACCGTTGCCGTTTTATACGATCAACTTGAACTTTTACGAAAAAAAAAGTCTTCACGGTTTCTGTCGTAAAGTTCCAACGATAACTTCCATCGAGAAAACAAGGGACAGTCTGATTTTGGTTTGGAGTATGATAGAGCCGAGGGCTTCAGATTTCGTGTTCCACTCGCCACTAGGCAAGCTGGACAAATGTTGTAGTATAAATGATTGTCGAACCAATTCTAAGGGATTTCAAAGGACTGAGAATGCAAGTACTCACTTAATCTAAGTGCGAGCGAATAATGGATGGTTTTAAACTTTGACTAATACTAGAATGCTACAACAAATTGAGAAAAGTAATAATTAAAATAACTTCTTTTGATTAAGAGAAGGGAGAACTCATGGGAGTAGGGATTGGACCTTCGGTGATCAAACTTTGAACTAAGGATGGCAAATGATCAGTAAAACTATCAACCTTAAGCCTAGACACATATCTAAGAAAGCTCTATATCTAGATGAATGCTCATTTACTAACATAACTCAAACATCAAATGTCTTCGGTAAATTATGTTAAAAGCTCAACCTTGTGGGTGGAAAATGCCTAAAACTCAACCTTTGAGTGGCCAACTCAAAAGATGCATTATGAACACTCTACTAGCAAGGAATACGAGAAGTCTACACTAAACATCCTAGTTCTAGCCTGCTCACCCTTAATCTCCCTACCCCATGAATTCAAAGGTGGATTACTCACTAATCTTCATGATTCCTCTCAAATCCATATTGGATTCAATCTTAATCATGTAAAGATAAGTAAATAATGCAAAGATATAAACAAGATCACAAGAACACTGAAAATGATTCCAAAGAGATGAACTTTTCCAAAAGATTTTTTGTGTTTTCTCTTCCAGATCAAAGATAATCTCTCGGTAGGCTACAAGAAGTACTTAAACTTAGGTTTTGAAAGTGTAAAAACGTCAAGACAAATGACCAAAAGGTCCTTAGAAAGTACAAAGTTTCGACCAAGGAAATGACACGCAGAGACCTCGTGGTGTCGCTCCAGGAGGTTGCTTTGGCCTGGGAGCGACCTCGGTATGTCACTCCAGGGTCAATCTCGTC